GTGAGTCCTAAAGATACATATATTAATATCGTTCACTCCTTTAGAGAGTCTAGTCTAAGGTTTTTTCTTAGTTAAATGAATTTATCTTCAGCAAGGGGTTTTATAAAGAGGTTAACAAGTTGGTTCTCAATTTTTATAAAATTCATATTTATGATTCCCTTTTGAGCATAGTCCCTTATAAAGTGACATTTGGTTTCAATATACTTATCCGTAGAATGCATGATAGGTTGTTTTGATAAGCTAATGGTGAGTGTTTTCACAAAGGATAGGAATGATACTCTCGTAAGCACTATAGTTCTCAAGTTGATTTTTGATCCAAAGCAACTAGAGTAGCAAGACGCAACTCAAACATACTCTTCTTCACAAGTTAAGAGATTCATCGTCCATTGTCTTCTACTCATCCAGGAGACCAAGTTTCCACCATTGAAGTGACTTCCTCTATTGATGCTTTTTTGTTCAATGCGATCTCTGTCATAGTTAGCATCACAATACCTACTCAAGAATAGTCTCAACCTTTTTCAAAGCAAAGACCAAGATTAGTGGTTCTTTTCTAATATTTGAGTATATGTTTAACTGTTGTTAAATCTTCCCTGGGTCAAATTGAAATTTTGCAAATAAGCAAACGTTGTGCATAATGTTTGGTTTGGACGATGTGAGACATAAAAGTGATCCTATCATCCCTCTGTTGGTGGTATGATCCACCTTCAATGAATCTTTGTCCATGCCTAGTATTGATGTTGGATGCATTGGTGTACTCTTAGGCTTGGCATTATCCATATTAAACTTATTTAAAAGATTTTTTGTGTACTTCATTTCATGAAATTAAAATGATACTTACCCTGAACTCATCTTGCATCAACATAGAAAACTCTTTACAGAGTTGTTCTTTAGTAACACCAGAAATAATGTTGTCCACATATATTTGAACAATAATAAATCTGAGTCCATGTCTTTGTGGAATAATGTCATATATATTTTTCTCCTTGAAATACCATTTTCTAAAAGAAAAGAGTTGAGTTTTTCATACCACACACAAGTTATAGGGGTGTGCAAAAAAGTTAAATTGATTTAAATCGATCAGTAATCGATATGTTCCAAATTACAAAAATTAGATCTGTTTAGAAGAAAAAGTTGAACCAATCCATTTTTTAAAATCGGTTTAGTCACTCAATCCATTTTTACAAAGTGACTCAATTTGATTTGGGTTTTTAAAATAAAACAATTTGTATATGGGTATAAAGTGGATAATTGCACAACATCAAATTGATCTACTTTAAAAAAATCTGATCCATAATTTTAAAAAATCAAGCTAACCCACTTTATAAAAAATGAATTGGCTAACTAATCCACTTATATAAAATGGATTGGTTTGATTTGGATTTTTCAAAATTTTGATTCATGAACACCGGCTTTTTCACCGTAACAAATTAAAAAAAAATAAAAATGTCTAAAAAAATTAATAAAAAACTATTTACTAAACTAAATAATTTCGGCCACGTCAGATTTGGACAGACAAAGAAAACGTCAGATACGGCAACGACTTCCATGATTCAAGCACGTAAGAAAAATGAACATTGAAAACGTCGTTGAGGCTGACGAATTGCGTACAAAACCAGCCAACTCAAGACATCACAGTGATTGACGAGTTTGATGACTTTTAGCTATGCCTTATCTTGTTCTTTGCGCGCAAGTAATGAACAGAAAACGTCATGGCAAGTGATGTTTTCTGTCTTTTGGCACAGCTGCTGCATAGCCTTAGCATAACCAATAGAGAACCTGGGGCACAACCTTAGCAGAACCAGTAGAGTACCTAGTGCACAACCTTAGGACATAGAACCAGCAAGAGCACGCATGAACAATAAATAAAAAATGTCATGCTGGGTGATGTTTTCTATTTTTTAGTGGCCCAGAACATGCAGCAGTGTTGACCAACAGAGGCTGTCTCATCTTTGTTGCATGGTCTATTAACCCTTTAAATAGATGGTGAGGGCGAAGAGACTCACAAGACTAGAAGGGACAGATCTGGCAAAACGTCAGCCAGGAAGACATTTTCCACTACATGCTAGACGTCAGCCCTAGTGACGTTTTTAGTTTATGCAGTATGTGCACAAAACATAACTATGGGTGACATTTTTCAATCAAATGATTTTGTGCAGAAAATATCAACCATGCTGACATTTTTTGTTGCCCTTCTCTCTCCTGCATGTTCCACATGCCACTATTCCACGCACATGAGTGCCTATACATAAAAGTGTCACTCTGAGTAACGTTTTTCAGAAATCGTCTCCTTCTTTGACGCTTTCTTCTTTCCTCTAATTCCGACGTGACCAAAATTATTTAGTTTGGTAAATATTTTTTTATTAATTTATTTTTGTAATTTTTATTTTTTTTATTTATTATGGTAGCCTTAAAACCCGTAACGATGTACTTACTTAAATCTATAAATGGATTTCTTAAGTTTAAAAATGTGGGAGGAATGTTTTTCATTTTCAAAATCACGAGATTGTTTCCCATATTTGATACTTCATTTTATTAAAGGTAACAAATGACAATAAGATCCTAATAGTTTAAACAAAAATTTCAATAAAATCGATACCTTTCTAATGTGAGGAACCTTTAGTTACAAGCCTACCTTTCTTCTTCATAGATATATTGATTTTGTCCAACTTGTTCCTAAAGGCCCCACTTAATTCCAATGATACACTTGTCTTATTGTAAAGGAACCAACTTCCATATGTCATTCTTTTGGAATTGATGAAGCTCTTCTTACATGACCTTGATTCATCCTTCATCTTGGATTGCTTCATTCATAGTCTTTGATTCTATCTCAAATATGAGAGTTATGTGAGCTTGTTCCTTAAATGATGTTATTGTCCTCACTTTACCCTTCATCTAACCTATGACATTCTTGCGGATGATGTTGCTTCATCCGCTAATTTTGTCCATATGGCCCAAGTTCCTCCTTAGCCTTAGGTTTATCAAGTTAACTAAACTTTATATTATATTATATTATATATATATATATATATATATACTTATATTGATATAAGATATTTCTATTAAATTCATTAAATAGTATAAATAATCCTATATATAAATAATATTTTTGAAAATGAAAAACTTATTAAATAAAACTATATATGCAATTTGAACCAATCTATATGTGTAGCGTGTGAGATAAAAAGAAAATTTGAGATGTGGTTAGCCACTTTCTTATTTTTTTAATTTAAAATATATAATTATATATAACAAATTTAATAGTGTTATACAAATTGAATTGAGTTGGGATGGATTTGACATCAAAACTCATTACACAACCCATACATGAATAGATTTGAATAGAATTAGTTGAATTAGACCTAAACACAAAAAAAAAAATTGCACTAAAATGATTTAATTAGTTTAGATCGGTAAGAGTTTATAGATTATTTAAATTCATGGACACCCTTAAAAAGCTGAACCTCCTATCTAGGGACATCAAAGAGTGACAAAGAAATACCGAATTAAATAGCTCTTAAAGGACTGAAATAATATTTTTTTTTCCTAATTAATAAACTCATTACAATCATTCAATCGAAAACTAATTTCTAGTAGTGTTAAAATTTTAACAGCGGGGAAAACTAATAGTGAAATATATTAAAACTTTCTAAGTAAATTTCTAAACGAAAAGGATACTACTCGAAAAGAAATTAAACAAAATAGTTAAAAAGGGAGTGTAATTTCCAAGAAAATAGTTAACATTGATCTAATCTCCTGAAAACCGAAAAAGAAAAAGGAATGAAAAGCCCATTTCGATGCCCCCAAATGTAAAAGGAACCTAAAGGACAAATTTAGATTGAGTTGGAAATTGAAATCAATGAATTTTTGAACACACCTTATGATTTTCAACCTAGAGGCATGCACAACTACAATAGCACATGATCTTAATTTCAAATGCCAAATTATGAGCCCATTGTGCTGCAATTTTCTTGAGAGCAATCACAAATAATGGTAATTGTTAAATCATCTAAACGGGGTATCTGAATCACATGAACATGATCTATGATCCACACCAACAGTGTAGGTAAAATTTTTAAATTCATATCATATCTACTTTCTTGACTGTTATTCTTATTTTACGAATTTCTCTTTTTAATTGAAAATTTTGAAATAAAAAAATAATAATCATATTAATACATACCAATCACAACCTCTTCCCAGCATCACAAGCTCCAAGTTGAGGACACCAATGAAACTCAGGGCAATGTCTTGTTGATAAGATCTTAACGGAATGAAACGGGTAAAAACAATGCAGACCCACTACGCTATCATTTTTGCACATGCAGGATCATGTCAACAAATCAGTTAATTCAATCTTATCTCAATATTAGTTTTAAAAATTTTAATTTTTCTGGTAAAATTAGATAAACGATCAACTGATTAAAAATATCTTTAAAATAGTTAAAGTATATTACATAAACACCCTCCCTTTGAAATTTCGTAAGATTGTACAAATACTCTACTTTTTCTACTGTACAATAAAACTTTTCTTAATTGTTTAAAAAATATTAACATTACATTAACTCCTCTAATGTTTGAAAAATATTAGACTATTATCGAAATAAGAGAAGTCATTATCAACATTAAAAAAATAAAATAAATAACCGAGTGCAAGAACGATTTCACCAAACCTCGTGAAGTTTCAGTGTAATTTACTCAAATAATTACACGTACATGACAATATATAATTATGTAACAATGTAATGAAAACGTTTACACAAACACTTATCAGATGATTCTAATTAAATTCAAATTTTAAACAGAATAGAATTCAAGTGAAACTCATCTAAGACACATTGGACGTAAAAACTCACGTCAAATGCAAAGCTACAATATGTAGCTTCTACGTCTTTTGTGCATTTGCCGCAAAAATGATCACATAAGCGTAGTAGATTCAAACATGATATAAATCTGTCCTATGAACACCCCCTAACTAATATACACCTACCCAGGAAAAAATATAAAACATGCTAAAATGATCACATTACTTCCTCAAAAATATCGACCACACATTTGCATAGTACTTGAATTCTGCTCGATCTCACATTCCTATTTTACAGTCCTCCTTCATCAGTGTATCAAAATATCTAATATATGAAGATTTTGGCAAGCATAAGTAAAAAATAAACATACTCCTGCACTGAAAAATTACCGACAGTGACACAACCAATATGATTAGCGCCAACTTCTATCCCTCTGAAGATTAACTATAATTTCATATTGATACAGAAACCAGGATTCAGATCAGACTACAGAATTCAAAACAATCATGATGGAGAATGATGGCAACTACAAAATAGGGTCAGGTGACAGGGCTATACAGAAAACTAGAAAATGAATTACATACTACGGAACTACAACAAAAGGAATCCTACAGTCAAAAATATCTCTTAACAGAAAAATGGATGGCCAGATAATTAACATTCTGGTAACCTACCTACTTCAGCAGCCACTTGGTAAAACTTTGTTTCAGCAATTAATTCAGCCAAACTTAGCTGCCACATCTTCGTCAACGCTTCCTAAAATGAGAATTACAAATACCATTTATTAACATAGAATATTGGTTTTGAATTAGATATCAATTTGAGGTAAATGCACAGGTTCTATCAAACCATACACAAGATGAATAGTGCAAACAGAAAAAACAATTCTTTCTCTATATTTTTAAGTACTCCCAACTCTACCGTCACAATTGGATGGAAAGACCATGCTAACTAAACAAACGAAGAACAGAATTCAAATTCCTTTCTCTTCCAAAGAAACCACTTGATTTACTCATAAAAAATTTTCAAGAATGCCTGCTCCCAGACTAAAACTTTCATTTCATAATGTACGTACCTAAGAAAGCATACAGAACTATTGTCGGATGTATTGGCATCATGAAAGCCAAATATTTATGGTCAAATTTTCCAAGCATATAGTATACACTTGTCCTATTCCAATGTTTTTTCTTCAGTAATCTCAAATTGTTTGCTAAACAATCATTTCTTACCTTAACAGTTACAGGGTGGGCAAAATCTGAGTTTAATTTATATATACTGTCAGTGTAAAATTTCACACAGGCATCCAATAGTAATTAATATTGTTGCCATATCAAATTCACATTAATGAATAGGATGATGTGACAACATGGTAAATTCAATTGGATGCCTTGTGTAAATGGTTTTATGCTGACAGTGAATATAAATTAAATTCAAATCTTAAATTCCAAAGCATCATCTTCCTGATTGTGTTCTATATCAAGTCTGGTGGCATGTTTCTTTATATGTTTTTATTTTCCCCAAATATCTTTGGCGAATTTAGGATATGGAATTCAATCATCCCCGAATCATAACTATAGCTAAATAACTAAGATGATTGATAAAGTCTCCTTGAGCGTGTCTATAAGATAAGCAAGGATGTATCCACCCTTATATCAATTTAGTCAATAAAGATCAGAAGCACCTAAGATCAAAGAGTGGATACTCCACTACTTGCTCACTTTAAAGAAGCCTTATCCATGATAACTGTATCTTCAAGTACATTTTTTTTTTCTTGAAGCTATAGTGCATACACCATCATGCCCATCACAATAGCATAACATAACTATAGCCTAAAGGGGAACCTTTCAAAGTAAAGTACTAAACCAATCAACATATAGTGCATAAAATAATTATTTGTGTTACTTACCAATATTAACTTCAAAATTGGAGAGATCAAAATGCATCTCCTGGTCCTGTGTTGCAGCAACAGACGAAGCTTTGAACAATGCACTTGGAGTATAATTAAGCTGGTAATTTACAAGTATTGGACCAAATATGTTGAACTTTTGAGCACTACTACAAGCAACCTCTGCATCAGAACACCTTTTGAAAACCACTCTTGCCCGGCTGCTTACTGTATCAACTTCTGTCTCTGCTTCCTTAAGAGGTCCAAATCGCCTAAACATTTTATTAAGGTTTGTTTCTGAGGGAACAGAATTCAACTCAGCAAAGTTCATAACAAGCTCAGCAGGGGCATTCTCATCTATATAACCAGGAGGTTTCTCAGGAACCTCAACATGATTGCTGTTAGAATATTGTTTCCTGGAATATGGCCTACGACTAACTTGAACAGGCTTCCCTGGCTCAGCAGGGAC